ACGGCTTGATAGCGCATGCGCATTTGCGCTACTAAAGAAAAATCGGGTGTTCCGGGGTAAAGATCCTTTACACAACATGAGAAGCGAATGTTCTAAAATTTACAAAGAATTACAATAACGAAAGCGATTCCTCGAAATTTTTGGGAACTTGGTAAAAGGATAACAGAATATGTAAATAAGTTCACTGAAATTGCCTAAATAACCTTCAAAGTACTGACTAAGCACAATAAATCACTACGAACATAAATCGTACACGCCCCCCGGAAAATTTACTGTATGACTGAATGACTGACTGACTGTTTCGTTTGAATTTTCCCCACCATCACAATACTGTGAAGTTTCGAAGAAACTTCACACTAAAAAGGATTTAGTTCGTTTGAAACGTTAAAAAACACTACAAAATGTGGTCAAAATACAAGAATAAGTGCGGAGAAATTCAGGAAAACTTATCTATCGATTTGTATGCATTTTTTAGCTATTTCATTTCAAATACAAAGCACATACATTCTATCTCAGGCGGCCGAGTTTATTACCCGGGCAAAGTGTTTACATGGTAAAATATTCACCTAAGCGATATCCCGCCTCTTTCTGCCGGGAACCCGCCAAGGCAAGTTGCTGTGCTGCATCATGTAAACAGTCACTCGGGATTACTATAAGTTTCTATAATAGCCGGGAACTCGCCTTGCCAGGTAACTCACCTCCATATAAACAGGCCCGAAATGCGAGTATATTTATACATACCTTGGATGATTTGCATAAAACTCTTTATTTAAAAAAAATTCTGCTGCTGCGAGTAGGCGAAGAATTCCGTTGACGTTTTCCTCGCCAGTTAATAGTAAAGATACAGAATTGAACAAACAATTCCCATCACCAGTGGCTTTAATTGATGTAAGATTTGTTGGGATGTCTCTTGGCAGCAATGCCGTTGAAAACGGGTCACGTTTAGTACCGATAGCATTTTTGATACCACTGCCATTAGATTTGACTAAAAGCCGCGTCAGATAATCTTCATAGCAGTTTTTAAGATAAACTACAATGTCACTATTGTTTTGACTTATAGCAGTTTGCAATAAAGTCAAATCATCACGAAGCTGCAAGTTGGATGGTAATTCGGAACTAGCCATATTCACGAGAGGAATCAAATTTGTAAACTTACATGTACTATATTACCGAAATCAGTAGAGTGTCTTTTCCGGAAGTTGAAAAGACAGTTCATGTTTTATGACGTCACGATGAAAGAATGTAGCGTGGAACTTGTAAGTTATTTTACTTATTAGTAACTTTACTTAAGTGCCTTCCCACGAATAAAGGTTCTCCCTAGTGTGAGGCGGTTTCTACAAAAAACCGACCAAAAAACCCCGAAAAAAACGAGTGAACCGGGTTTTTTTAAAAAAATATGTTCGAAAATCTAAACTACGGGTTAATTAAAAAAGACACAACACCCTATATGAATATTTTAAATCTGTCTTCGCAGACGTCCGCCTTTGTTACTAGCGAATCAAAATTCACCATCGTTTGATCCGCTTATCCGTTGAAGACCTCAAGCTTGTGCGAAATCGTAGAATGATATTAAATTTTAAACAAAATCTCTTTAGTTCTCGTGTGTAAATGCCAAAACTTGATCCATTTGCAACAAAGTTGTATAAGTATGGTTCGATTTCGGTTTCCCCCCGGTTTTTTCGGTTTTCCGGTCTTTCTCCAAAAGTAACATCGAGTAATTCGGTTTTCAAAAAACATCTGGTTTTTTCGCCTCACCCTAGAACTTTTCCCTTTGCTCAAAAGCTTGTTTTGTGTTTGGCGAGCCATTGGCAATTTGACAAACTAAATAAAGTTACTAATAAGTAAAATAACATACAAGTTCTATGCTGCATTCCTTCACCGTGACGTCATAAAACATGAACGTTTCTACTGGCTTTTGACTGTCTTTTCAACTTCCGGAAAAGACACTCTACTGATTTCGGTAATAGTATAGCTCGTACAAAAGTGCTTGGCACTGCTTGCCGCCAATTGCTGCTCATAAAATGTAACAAAATTTCACATGCGCTGTCCCCACGAAATAGTATTTGTATACCAAGACTTTTAAATAGGGACGGTCACAGACCTTTTGATTTTTGATGGGGGAAGAGGGGATGGTACCTTTTCAAAGTGCTCTGTTATTTCTGGCCTCATCGGCTCAGCGCGGTGTTTTTCCGATTGGTTTTCGGTTTCACAAACTTGCTGTGCTCGATATAGTTTTCATCAGTTCGGGACATGCTCGATATTTTTTTCAGATTTGTGCTCCTTCCCCATCTGAAAATCAAATGGTCCATCCCTTATATAAATTCACCGCATTAAACTACAAAAAAACCAACTATTTGTTAATATTGTTAATAAGTAATTATATGCCATATTTGTATTGTGTTGGCACCAAAATGTATCTAAAAATATACATTTTATAATGTTTACGCCCATATAGACCAAATGCAACTAAAAATTCAAAATAGAATATTGAGATAGCTATCGTCTCAAAATACATGAGAAAACAATCAAAATTCAAAACCCATTCAAAAGTGAAAAATTAATGCACCAATTTAATTTATGTTCTATGACTCTGTCAAATCAAAGTTCACGATTTTGTCTTCATCTTTTGTTGTCTCAGCAATTTCATCAATTTCTCCAACTTTCAAGTCTTCGATTTCGATATCTGACTGATGACAATTATCTTGTAACTCCTTCTCACGCTTGTTGTTAGTATTAAGCCAATTAATGCATTTCACAACATCTGATTGAGCACTTTTTATTTTGCTAAATATATTGTGTATTTTGCTAAATATATTTGTTTATCTTTAGTCGTAACGTTGTTCAGATTTTCAATTCGCTTGTAACAAGCCGCCCGCTCAAAATCGACTTTTACGAGCTTATCCAGGTTCTTGGCTAAGCTCATGTATTGGGTGTTTTCAATTCCGCAGTTAATCATGTGTCTATCGGCTTCGACTTTGAGCAACTCTGTGAACTTACGAGTCCATTCTGTATCAAGTATCCTATGCTTTTCTTGCACTGTCCAGTTACCATAGATTGGGTGTTGATCAAGCTTCGCAGTGAGTGTGTTCCAAAACAGTCGCTTTTCCCTCTAGAAATTAGATATGAATGGCATATTGACTTCACTATCACTAAAAATTCGCACTCCCGTTTTTGAGCTTGTTGCTTCACCTGATGCTGTTAATTTCGAAGTCGATGGGTCATTTCGAAGTCGATGAAGTCATCTTGTACACATTGTTGTTTTTTAGCTGGAGCACTGCTCTCAGTAAAACAGTGTCTTTTATTCCTGAATTTTAACGTTATTTTAAATCTGTTGTCCCCAGATTCCAATTTACATGTGACTTGCTGTAGTGTCAGAAAATTTTCCTGCGTTAAAGAAATTGGTGCATTCTTGAAGGCAAAGTCAAAAGTAGGAGTAGCATTAGCTAGAGTAGCATATGCCAGTTTTTTAATCAGTAATTGTCTGAAGTTCTCAAGAGTAATGCCCAGGTCAATATCATCATAAAAAGCTATGTCTTCTCCATTTTCGTCGATAACCTGTACCAACTGTAGTGCTGAGGAGTTCATGGTGACAGGAATTCTTGTTCGTCAGCTTCGTCTTTCCCATAACCTGCGATCAGGCCATTATTTTCCTCGTGATGGGTGGGCGAAGAAAATTCCCATGAAGTTCCAGGAACGTGCTGGGGTTTTGAAAAGGACGACGAATGAGCAACGTCTGATGGGGCCCAGGCCCAGTGACTGATGGACCAAGATTGGGGTGGGGGTATTATTGATCAAACATGAAACATTTCAGTTGCTAATTAATCTTTTTCCCCAAAAAATTGTTGGGGGGGGGGGGTAGGGCGATGTAAAAAATATTGTTAAATTTTTTGTTAATATATTCGTAAATTTAGATTTTTAAAATATAAATTGTAATATCTTAATTTTGATTTTCAAAATGTATATTTTGATCTTTTTCAATGTTTTTATTTTAGGGGCCCATGATGGCAGGGGCTGGAATTGACCAAATTATAACAATTTTTTTATTACTCGAGACAAATAGGATATAATCTGGTCACACTGTGGTCCCACGCCCCTAATTAAATTATGATGTTCTTCAAAAGTCTGACATTTTTCTATATGAAGCTCGGCTGGTTAATTTTGCATGTTACAGGTTCGCAATTCCCTACATCCAGACGATGAATGAGATCAGTGACTGATCTCCACTTCTGGTTTTCATCACAAACAATATAAACTTTATTCAAACAAAAATACCAATAGCAAATGTCTATTATATGCTATAAGAAAATACATGCATGCAGAAACTCTCGCCTTGCTGACAAAACTATTATGTTTTCCAAACTTGAAGTATTGTCATGGTAACACGATAATTTTAAGAATAGTTTTAAAATTGAAAAATCCCCCCAAAATGATCAATTTCCTAAACATATATATGTTATTATACGTAATATAAGCTTCAATTTAATGTAAAAATCAACCACAAATGCTTCGCAAAACGTTTCAAAATGTTCTTAAAACTAATTAAACTGCATTTTATAAGTAAACATTGAATTTCAAAATCGAAATAAATTGATTTCAAATTCTTGCATGAAAATAACTTGCCATCATGCCACACAGCCACAGAGATCATGAATGCTGAAAACCGGAAGTGGAGATCTATGAAGTGATATTCCCTTCAAAATGCAACTGCGATTTTTGTTATGCAACATTGTATTTTGATAAACTAATTTTCTTTAACAAGGCTGTATTTTGGAACACTGTATTATGCAAGCATGCTTGTATCCTGGTATACTGCAATGTGCAAGCTTGTATTTTGGAACATTAAATTGTGTAAGATTGCATTATGGAACATTATATTATGCAAGCTTGTATTATGGAACATTAAATTGTGAAAGCTTTTTTATATTATGCAACATTAAATTGTGAAAGCTTGTATTATGCAACACGCAACGCGCGAGTTGAAACCACGTGTTATCTAGCGCGGGAAGTTTACGATAAAATGGCGGATCAGAGAATTAATCAAATAACTCCCCTTATTTGCCATTCTATAGTCAGTTTGATTCATCAACTGGAAGCTTGCAACGGCGATTCAGATTCTCTGGATTCCATTTCGTATAGAGTTGATTGGCTCTACGGAATTGTCGTACGTTATTCGGCTGTTTTCCCAGGTTTATTTAGTGAACAAGTGGTCGAACTTGTACGTGCCGCAAAAGATATTTTATTAACAGCATTAAGCGGTGCTGAAAACCACTCATTTCATGTCGAGCAATTAGCAACTGGAGCACGCGGACGCCCAAAATTCAATATTACCAAGGAGCAACTTCAATTTCTCTTGGAGAGAGGTTTCTCTGGCCCAGACATAGCACAAACGCTCGGTGTTAGCTTGAGCACCATCGAAAGACGTTTACGTGAGTTTCGCATTCCCGCAAGATCGTTTTATTCCGTTATCGATGATGAAACTCTTGACAGAACAATTAGAGACATTTCGAGAAGTTTTCCATCAGCTGGATATCGCAGAATGACCGGATTTTTGCTGAGCCGAGGGATTAAAGTACAACAAGAAAGAATTAGAGAATCTATGTGGAGGGTTGACCCGGAAGGGGTACTTATTCGTTCGTTAGAATTATCTACAGTAAATCGAAGAAGATACCAAGTTTACGCACCGCTTGCATTATGGCATATCGATGGCAATCACAAACTTATCCGGTACGTCGAGTGAAATTATAGCGTGATATGATATAATAAAATTAATGAAGATAATTATCATTTAAGCCAGTGTACTCAAAAAATTATATTGATTAGGATGGTGTAGACACTGCACCCGGGCCATTCCATTTAATATCAACCCCACACCCACACCATTGATGAGGTAAGTAAAATTTTAATCCCTAAGAAAGAAGATTAAAGGGCAAAAAAAAAAATCCCTCAGAAATTTGTAAATTTTTCTCCTTATACCCCTCAGAAAAATCGCAGATATCGAAGGATACCACCAACTTAATCCATCTGAAATGACTTTGAGGTCACCCTTCAGAAAATTTAGTCCATGGGGGGGGGAAGGACATTAAATGGAATGGCCCCCACTAGGTGTATAATTACTACAGCTTTGTAGTATTATAAATTTGAATGTACTCTACATCTGTCTCTACATCTTCAACATTTTAGATGGCGCATTGTGATCCATGGAGCAATAGATGGCTATTCTCGTTTGATTGTTTTTTTAAAAGCCAGCAATAACAATAAAGCTGTTACAGTTTGTCAATTGTTCATTGAAAGCGTTAGTAAGTTTGGTCTTCCATCAAGAGTTCGTTCCGATAAAGGGGGAGAAAACGTCGATGTTGCTAGATACATGTTGAGCCATCCATTACGTGGGCCAGATAGAGGAAGCCATATCACTGGCAGAAGCGTTCACAACCAAAGAATCGAGCGATTATGGAGAGATGTCTTCTTTGGTTGTACAGGTCTATATTATGATTTGTTTTCCTGCATGGAAGTGTCTGGTATGTTAGATCCTTGTAATGAAGTGGATATGTATGCACTGCATTACGTATTTCTGCCCAGAATCAACAGGAATCTTGATGAATTTGCGGCAGCACATAGTCGAGCACCGATAAGCACAGAAAGGAACAAGTCCCCTGTACAGCTTTGGATTCAGGGATTATCAAATGTTTGTAATAGTGAACACTGTGTAGCTGAGGAGTTGTCACTGGTAAGTAATGTTCTGCAATTGCTAATACATGCAGTATATAGAATGTATAAAACTAAAAGAAGATTATGCAGCAGAATACATTTTAGCAACTATTTGATATAGTCGTGCAATTCAACCAATACGCTCCAACACCGGGTGCTATAGAGACAATTACTGTATGGCCTAATATAATTGCAAGTATAGCTGGAGACATAACTGGGAAAGAGGTCGAGCTACAAATTATTGCATGGATAAATACAAGAGATAGAAAGGGACTTGCGGCAATTGCTATAAAGCGTTTTTTGAAACATTACCAATCTGTAAAAATCATATATTTGTATTTTGCTTGACTTTGACAGTCTACGGAAGATTTGGCCTGGTATGGGATCGACTGGGATGGCCCTGCACCATTTGTTCGATGGGATGGGCCAAATGATGGTGACCCACCTGTGGAAATACCAGAAGTTCCAGACATCTTAATTCATAATGATTATGAACAGTTACTGAACACGGTCGACCCACTTCGTCAATCCAATGATAATGGTGTGGATATGTTTATTGCAACAAAAAACTTTGTGCTCCAATGCATTGAAAGGTACTAGTGTTTTTACTATATGACTATGATTAAAGTTTATAATTACTAAACTTTATTATCATGGATTTTGGGAAGCTAAAAATCTGTTGTTACTATTAAAGCTAAGGCCATTGGCGTATATGCTACTTTGGGCTAAAAAAGCAAACCATAATATACAATGAACACAAACGAGAATTCTTGTCAATTTAGAAAATTACATGTATATGTAAGTTCTGCTAAATGCACTAAATTCAAAAGAAACACAACTGTTAACTATTTGTACTTTTCATACAATAAAATAATGTTTTACTCTGTAATCTGTATTTCACGGTAAGTACTGTCATTTTACTATAATGCATTAAAAAACGTGGCAATGTGGATATCAAATAGTCAATTGCAGAACACCTATCGATATCTAAATTTCTACATGAATGTCAACAGCAGTATTTCTCATAAACATTGAGAATTAACGATTTAACGTTACCGAGATGGCGAGAAACATTTACCGAGAAATATTAATAAAATATGAGACAAATAAATATAAAATCTCTTTATATGCAGATTTACAATTATACAAAATACCTGTGGGAAAACAACTGAAAGATAACTTGTACTGTGTGCGTACGAGTTTATACCTTCTTAAACTATTATGGTGTTTTCACACTTATATGACCTGAAAATATTTTTCTGTGACCTAAATGGACACATTTTGTATAAGTGAAAATATCTGAACAATAACCGTAAATGTCATCAAAGGAAGTTACTAATTTGGGATTATTTTGATAGGGATTCTGCAATTGCTCCCAAAAACGGAAAAAAAATGAATGTAATAAATTTTAACATTTTAACAACAACTTTTAAAATATTATATCAGTCTTGTTGGTCTTGTAGTGTACCCACAGTAAACCATTCAGAACAAATTTACTTCATGCGAATCCAAATCCAGTGCTTTCCATAATTAAAGCCTGGTTCATAAAAAATCTGAATTTTTCATAATTCTGATGCTTGGCCGGTAGTTGCAATTCCATAACACATGTATTTGCCACTGGGAAAACTGCCGTACTATCTTCTGATACAGCAATATGTTCTGGATCAGTAAATCCAAGTGGAGGAACTTTTTCACACGCAGTTGTAAACGACAAGAGATAGGGTATTCTTTCAGCTGTTTAAAAAAAAATTAGCAAAACGTCTAAAACTGTCTAAACATCATATTTTTGTACAGATAAACACATTTGTGCTTGATCAAAAGGCAAATTTCACACTGCCTGGCCTAGATGGAGTGTTTATATGGGAGCTCATGTAATTCGCCCTTAACCCATTGAGTTGCATTACACCCTGGAAAAGTCAAATCCCTCACCTTTTATATTTGAACCATACTGACTGCAAATCCACTATGCTTTTTTCTCCGAATTTAGCAATGAGGGCATAATTAAAATTTTAATGGAAGACTGATGCATACTTACCTTCATCATGCACATACTGTGTGAAGTAATCTACAACCCTAGGACTAACACCATCTATTTTTACAATGGCCATGAATGCATCAGGTGTCATTGTGTCCGCACCATCATCACTGTGAACAAATAGAGGACTAAGCAGATCTGGATATTTCCTTGCCAGTGTAAGTAGTTGCCAGCTGGTCAATTTCACTTTTTCGGACTGTTATTACATGATGAAGATACA